ACCTCCTGAGTAGCTGGGATTACAGGCACGCGCCACCATGCCCAGCTAATGTTTTGTATTTTTAGTAGAGACGGGGTTTCACCATGTTGACCAGGATGGTCTCAATCTCTTGGCCTCGTGATCCACCCGCCTCGGCCTCCCAAAGTGCTGGGATTACAGGCTTAAGCCACTGCGCCCGGCGGTTTTCTTTTTTTTTTGAGACGGAGTTTCACTCTTGTTACCCAGGCTGGAGTGCAATGGTGCGATCTTGGCTAACCGAAACCTCCACCTCCTGGGTTCAAGCAATTCTCCTGCCTCAGCCTCCCAAGTAGCTGGGACTACAGGCTGTGCCACCATGCCCAGCTAATTTTTGTATTTTTAGTAGAGATGGGGTTTCACCAAGTTGACCAGGATGGTCTCAATCTCTTGACCTTGTGATCCACCCGCCTCGGCCTTCCAACGTGCTGGGATTATAGGCGTGAGCCACCGCACCCGGCCCTCTTTTTGTCTTTCTTTCTTTTTCTTTTTTTGGGACAAGATTTCACTCTGTCACTCTGTCACCCAGACTGGAGTGCAGTGGTGTGATCATGGCTCACTGCATCCCCAGCCTCCTGGGCCCAAATGATCTTCCCACCCCAGCCTCCAGAGTAGCTGGGACCACATGTGTATGCCACCATGCCTGGCTAATTTTTAGAATTTTTTGTAGAGATGGGGGTCTCCCTATGTTGCCTAGGCTAGACTCGAACCCCTGAGCTCAAGTGATTCTCCTCTCTCAGCCTTCCAAAGTGTTGGGATTGCGGGCATGACCACCATTCCCGGCCAGTTTTCCCTGTTATTAATATCCTGTAATTAAAATTGATGAGCCAGTATTGATACTTTATTGTTAACTAAAGGCCATACTTTACATTAGGGTTTACGCTTTGGGATGTATGTGCTATGAATTTTGACAAATGCATCGTGTCATGTGTCTACCATTGCAATGTCATACAGAATAAGTCGTTTCACTGCACTAGTAATCCCATGTCTCACCTATTCATCCTGCTCTTCCTGGTCCTCCACAGAATCCCTGACAACAGTTGATCTTATTACAATCTTTACAGTTCTGCCTTTCTAGAATGTCATGTGGTTAGAATCAAACAGCACATGGCCTTTGCATCCTGGCCTCTCTCACTTAGCAGTTTGCATTTATGGTTTCTGCCATATCTTTTTGTGGCCTGGTGGCTCATTTCTTTTCATTACTGAATAATATTCCATTGTATGAATGGACTATAGTTTATCCATTCAGCTATTGAGGAACACCTTGGTTGCTTCTAATTTTCGGCAATTATAAATAAAGCTGCTAAAAACATTTATGTTTGGGATTTTTTTGTGAACATAGTTTTCAGCTCAATTGAGTAAACACCTAGAAGCATGATTAGTGGATCATATGGTAAGACAATGTTTAGCTTTCTAAGAAACTGCTAAACTGTTTTCCGAAGTGGCTGCACGGTTTTCTTATTTGTTTGTTTGTTATGCTGGAATGCAGTGGCGCGAACTTGGCTCACTGCAACCTCCATCTCCCAGGTTCAAGGGATTCTCTTGCCTCAGCCTTCCGAGTAGCTGGGATTGCAGGAGCCCACCACCATGCCTGGCTAATTTTTTTTGTATTTCTAGTAGAGATGGGGTTTCACCAGGTTGAGCAGACTGGTTTCAAACTTCTGACCTCAAGCGATCCACCCACCTTGGCCTTCCAATGTGCTGGGATTACAGGCATGAGCCACCACGCCCCCCGCCTAGCTGCTTTGCTTGGTTTTCTTTTCTTTTTTTTTTTTTTT